TAAAGAAGTCCTTATCTCTGGGTCTCCTCGGTGGTGCAGCGGGTTGAACACAGCGCTGTGAAGCTGTCTGCAGCCTCTGCAGCGCAGGTTTAATTCCTGGATGGCCAGGGAGATTCCCACATGGCGCAGCAGACCTCTCCTGTCTCACCCGCTGCTCCCCTCAGCAGTGTATCTCAGTCAGTCTGCCTGTTCTGTTCCCCGCTCTGTCTCTGGTGAATCCTCTCACCCTTCGCACCTCTGGCTTGTACCCCGGCTCTTGTATAAAAATAAATAAATCTTAAAAAAAAAGTCCTTATCTCCTAGAAATATACACTGGAGGGTTTACAGATATATTGATGTAATGCTGGGATTTTCCTTACAAAAATCCACTGGAGTTGGGAAAAAAAAGGCGAGTGCAGATGAAAATAAGATTGGGTGTCCCTTGATTAGCTGAATGATGGGAATGTAGGGATTCATTTTACTAGTTTCATGAAAGAGAATTCAGAGGCATATAAACACCAACTTGTGACATTCAGCATGGTCTTGATGAGGGTAGTTTTATTGACCTTTTGGGAAGAAAATGAAGAAAACACTGTCAAACATCCTATCACATATGAGTTTGCCTGTGTTGTATGTTAATTCCAAGAACTTAACCTTACATTTTATGTTACTGAGAGGGTTGTATTTTTTTAAACAACTTTTTAATTATAAATATAATAAATTTTTATTGACTGAAAATCATAAAATATGAATATATAAAACCATTTGTAATCCCACTCTCCTGAGGTGAGAAAAATACTGTTTTTAAAGTATTTTTATATATATATATAAAAGAAATTACACACCTACATGCATGTGTATTATATACACACATAACACATATATGTACATTATAATACACACGTGTATTATGCACATGTTATGTACCTATAATACACACATGTACTATATGTGTTATATGTACATATATTGTGTGTATATATAATACACATGTGTACACATAATAAAGACTAAGCTATGATATGTCATCACATCCGTGGTTTATTTTATTGTCATCTATGTGTTGTGGGAGGCCATTCCCCTAAGAGGGAAGGCAGCAATAGGGATTCTATCGAGGTTGGAGGTTGTCTGTGCTTTCCTGCCACAGATAGCTGAGTCAAAAGGACCAGGGCATGAATCTCGAGAAGTTTTAAAAGGATGCCTGGGGAGAGAGATTCTTAGACTTGCTCTGCTCTCCTCATCTCAACACAACTTTTTTTTTAAAGATTTATCTATTTATGCATACAAGAACTGGAGTACAGGACAGAGATGCGGGGAGAGGGGTGTGTGTGTGTGAGAGAGGATTCACCAGAGACAGAGTGGGGAACAGAACAGGCAGATTGACTGAAATACACTGCTGAGGGGAGCAGCGGGCGAGTCAGGAGAGGTCTGCTGTGCCATGTGAGTAACCTCCCCGGCCAGCGGTGGGACTCGAACTCATGCTGCAGTGGCTGCCCACAGCTTCATAGGTTGCATCTTAACCCCTTGTGACACCAGGGAAGCCCTTCAACACAACTTTTATTAGCAGAAACAACAAAGTTACAAAGCAAGATATAGGATGGGCAGAACTACAGAACAGTGCTTCCTTTTCTCATTTCTAAGTATTCAGCATATTTCTAGCACACATTCACCGCCAAGGTTATGCATTATCCAATTGTTCTTTCCTCACGCTGTTTCACAGACACAAGAACATCCTGATCTATACACGGGCCAGTCTTCCAACCCATGCTGACCAGTCTTTTAGCCATGCCCAGTTTTCCAGCCATGGCCCTGATGATTTCCTTGTCTCAGCACTTCACATCTTAGGGGTCCCCAACACTTTTCCAGCACTGTGGATGAAATCTGCATACTTGTGTGTTATAATGGACACTTCCAATCAAAACTTGTAACTTGTAATAATGTTTCCAGGTTTTTTATAATTTATGGTAGTTGAAGAATTGGGTGGAAGTGGAAAGGGCAGTGGAAGAAGATGGTAGTTTTATCAATTCAAGATAGACCAAGAAAATTCACAGAGGGGTTATTTCCACTTGGCCCTTGTTGTCTGTCCTGTACTTTTCCTTACCTGATCTGGGAATTGTATAAAATCAGATCCTGGACTAGTAGAATAAAATGAATTACATTCACATACCCATATCCAATGTAACTATGAAAAGCGCTAAAGAATATCTATCTATATTGCTAGGAAGTGATCACTAGGAAATATTGTTAAGTGCCAGAAAACAAAGTAGAAAAAAAGTGTATAGCTACCTTTTATCTAAATGGTGGGATCATACAAAATGTATATATTTGCTTATATTAAACGAACCATGGATAAACTTTTAAACTAAATTATGAATAGGGAGAGGCAGCTAGATGTCTCTGAATAGATCTAGTTTTGTAGATTTGATTTTAGAATCTCATAAGTATTTTAATAACTATGAAACAAAGTTAAGTTTTAATAACACAATCCTTAAAATTCAGTAGTAAAATGAAATAAACAAACCTAACTTTATCATGCAGAAAGAATCTTTTTAAATGATTCAGTTCAGTAATTTAACTTACATGCTTCATAGGACATGCCCTAAGGACAGAAAGAACTTTTAAATGTCTTGAACAGTTTTTAACAAACATAAAGTTGGTGGTGGTGCTGGTATTGTCAGGTTGTTGTATAGATTATACAATAAAGCAAAATAAATCTATTAAGTTGTAGTTACTGGGAAACAGCATAGGAAAAAGAAGATATAGAAGATCACAGAAGCTAAGTGAAAAATGTAGTTTTGAAATAGAATTGCCCACAAGAATGCCTGGTGTATTTTCTCTTGAAATGAAGTTGTCAGGATCTGTCTTCTGAAAAGGCTTGCAATGAGAGCTCTCCCTGAATTCCATGTTTTAGAAGCTGAGTACCATTGCTCAAAAAAAGAAACCAAGACCCTTAGAGAAATGACTGGTTGTAGATCTGGGCAGGAAACGTGAAAGGTCATTCATTGATAAATCCTAGCATAACGGAAAGCCAAGAAGCTTTCAGAGGTTTCTGGAATTGAGTCAGAAGGACTAAGGAGCCAACTCAACTAGAGCTCTACCAGCCAAGAAGTCGCCATCAAGAAGAATAATAACTGCAATGAACTGAAACACATCAAATATATCTTTAAATGCATACTTCCTAAAAAAAAAATCAGTAAACAAAATCTCTCATTGGTTAAAATTAGGAGAATGCTGGAGAGGCAATGTATATTTTTTAAGCTGGTAAATAAAGAGAAAGAATCCAGCACTTATTCTGCCTTCCTTGTATAAACTACTTACTGTAGGGTAACGAGTTAGCCACAGGAACGGTTTTCTCTTATAAAAGCATTTTAGGTAATAAGTGAAGCAAGAATGATGGAAATAAAATATCACCATTGCATAACCCTCAGTGGACTAATGGACCTAAGTAATGATCCGTGATGTGTGCTAATACACAAAAAGAGACACAGCTAGACACTGGTGCTTCCTGTTAGAAGTGAACACTAACCCCTATGAAATATCTTTTCTATTCCAGTTTGAAAGAGTTCAAACCTGAACCTGAGTAAGCCTCTGCCTTCAGTAACCAATTTATAGGGAAAGCTGGGTCCACAGTAATAGATTAAATTGAAACATGGGGATGCAATCAGTATATTTTATATATTTATTTATTTTAAAAGATTTATTTATTTATTTATTTATTTATTTATTTATTTATTTATTTATTTATTTATTTATTTATACAAGCACTGGGTACAGTCAGAAGCGCGGGAGGGTGAGAGAATTCACCAGAGCCAGAGCAGGGAGCAGAGCAGGCAGACGGACTGAAGTACACTGCTGAGGGGAGCAGCGGGCGGCAGGAGAGGTCTGCACGCCATGCGGGACCCTCGCCCGGCGACCGGGGCTTGAACCACCGCTGCAGAGGCTGCGGGCAGCTTCGCAACCCAGCGCTCAACCGCTGCGCCACCGGGGAGGCCCAATCAGTATATTTTAGCCCATGGGAAACTATCAGACAAATGAAATGGTAAGGAAACAATTTTAATTATAAGGGAAAAATGAACAGGAGAACAGAACCTGTAAGTTCAAAGAGTTTAAGGGATGCATCAATCTATTGCAATGAGTGGAATTTATTTGGACTCTGATTCAGAGGAACTAAAGAGAAAGAGGTGGGAGAAGGAAGGGAGGAAAGATGAAATAGGAATATGGAGGAAATATGCATCTTATTATAATAAGGGATTATTTTTAATGTTTGTAGGTATAATAATGGGACTATGATTCTGCTTCTTTAAAAGGATTCTTGTTTTTTCATGATAAATATTTACCAAATGAAATGACCATGTCTGCACTTTGCTGTGTAGTAAGAAAATGGGAGAGTGTAGATGAAGCAGCAATCGCTTGTTGTTGAAGCTGGGAAATGATGTGAGGGTTCATTATACTATTGTTCATACTTACGTTTGTATTTAGAATATATAATTCTAAAATGGAAACTTTCTTTTAAAGCAGGTCCTGGCTTAATGTTTTTCACCTTTGTGATCCCTTCCTTCTAGAGTTGAGACTTGAATTGACTTAATGTGACCACATGGGATTTATGTGCATACTCATTGCAACCCCCTGCAAAATTCCACTGATTTCCAAAGTTGATTTGTTTTTTTTTTAAAGATTTATTTATTTATGCATACAAGAGCTGGGGTACAGGCCAGAGATGCGGGGGGTGAGAGGATTCACCAGAGACAGAGTGGGGAACAGAACAGGCAGACTGACTGAAGTACACTGCTGAGGGGAGCAGCGGCCGAGTCAGGAGAGGTTTGCTTCACCGTGTGGGTTTCTCTCTGGCCAGCGGGAAATCGAACTCGTGCTGCAGAGGCTGTGGATTGCTTCATGGTGCGGTACTTAACCCCTTGCACCACCAGGGAGGCCCCAAAGTTGATTTGTTTTTTAATTTAAAAGTTGTTTTGCTCTTGTGGGTTCCTGAGAAGGCTAAGGAGTGCTCACTGCTTGTTCTTCAGGCCCTGGGATCGCTGCCTATAGCCGGTACCCTGAAAACATCCCCAGAGCCTTTGATGAATGCACAAAAAAAGTCCAGGAGCACATTCCAGCCCACTTCCATAACTCCACCCAACTTTACCTGGGGGCCACTGCTGGGATGCGCTTGCTAAGGTAAGGGCTGGAATGGCAGGAGACCATGTGACCAATCAGCCATGAATGTGTTGAATCTTGCCAAGAATCTAATTCTATTTCTGCAAGTAAATTCCAAAGAAAGATGCTCATATTTTGCCATAAGTTTAGGCTTTCAAAATTGGTAAACTTTCAGTCTGTATTTTCATATCCAGAAGCAGCTCTAAAATTTGATTTCCTCTCCGTTGGTGATTTTTGTTTTTTAAAGATTTATTTATCTATGCATACAAGAGCTGGGGTACAGGCCAGAGATGCAGGGGGTGAGAGGATTCACCAGAGACAGAGTGGGAAACGGAACAGGCAGATTGACTGAAGTACATTGCTGAGGGGAGCAGCAGGCGAGTCAGGAAAGGTCTGCTGCACCATGTGGATTGTTCCCTGGCCAGCCGGGGATCGAACTCGTGCTGCAGAGCCTGTGGATTGCTTCATAGTGCAGTGCTTAACCCCTTGCGCCGCCAGGGAGGCCTTCCCTGGCTTTCTTAATCCATGATGAAAGGAAAATAATCTCTTGAGTAAGCTTTTTTCCATAGGGTAGGACGGCATCCAGTGATAGAACAACCCTGAGTTATGAGTGATATGATACTGCTGTGTTGCCACTCCAGAGTCAGCACAGAGAGCCATGGTGGCAGTCATATCCTCTCCCAGGGATGACCTCTGAGAGAGCAAAGAGCGAACACTTGAAAACAGCCTTCTTCCTTTCCCCTTCCTCCTAAGCTCGCCTTCCTTCTGGATTGGTGAAATCTCCTTAGTACGTTGCCTCAGAGATTACTTTTGCCAATCTTATGCCTTCACCAATCTCCTTCTGCTGATTTGAGTCAGAGCATGGATGATTAAGCAGGAGGCTCTTTTTATTAGCTGGTTGCTAGAGAGTGGGATAGGAACAGGTGGAACAGAGGAGAACAAGTAGTATTTTTTACTGCAAGCTATTTTCCTGTATGACAGTTTCACAAGTAACAAGTGCATTCTGCCTTCACGGTTGCCTGGGAGACTTCCATTTGCAAAAGGGGTTGCCATATATTGTACATATCTGAAAAATTGTCCCTGCCAACAGGGGTTTGGGGTTTGAGGGATACATTTTCACCTGAGTGTGATTATTTTAGGATTGTGTTGTCTAGGCATTCAGCCTTTTGTGTTCTGTGCCTTGCATAGCTTGCAAAATGAAACAGCATCTAATCAAATCTTAGTAACCATCAAAAACTACTTCAAGTCCCAGCCCTTTGATTTTCGGAGTGCTCAAATCATTTCTGGGGAAGATGAAGGACTATATGGATGGATTACAGTCAACTATTTAATGGGACATTTCCTGGAGGTATGTGAAAAGAAATTTATAGTTTTCAATTTTGCGGTTTGTCCCATCCCCTACATACGGTAGCTTAACAGAGGTGCATGCCAACCAGGGCATATGTCCTATGTCATTCCTTCACATAATGCATAAGGGAAACACCTACAAAGACTTGGGTTTTTAAACTTGGGTCATAAACAGGACAAAATGATCAGGGAGGAAGCTATCACTTTGGAGATGAGAAAATCTAAATCTAGCAATAGGCTACAGGCCTTTTGAAGGATGGTTGGAGAATGACCCTTCCAAGAAGTTCCAGAGCATCTGGAATTTAAAGAGCCCTCTGGAAGTCTGCTTCCAATTCATTCCATGTCCTCAGGTCTCCTTATACTTCCTGATCCTTTGGTGCAGAGGAAAGCTGACTCCAAGAGATAATCAAAACCTATTTTGTTCCCCCCAAATATATTTTGGAAATTTTCATTAATTGCCAACTCTTAATATTTTGGAATTTCATAGAAAAGTCCACATTTCTAGCTTCTCCTGACCACTTCATCCCTGCAAATTTGGAAGAGCTGGTCACAGAGTTTGCGTTCCTATATGGAAACAACCAATTAGAATAGTCTCGTTCATGCACTCTCCAGTTTGTCACAGTCCCCACAATGCCCTATTGTTTACATCTAACCTGCTTCACTCACTTATGTTTCCTGTCCAGCCCCTATGAGCAGGTGAGTTCACCACTCCTGAAATAAAGGATAAATTTGGCCTTATGTATTTCCCATGTCATACTTTTTAGCAATAAGAGATGGGTCTCAGATAGAGAGCCCTGGGCAGACATGGTTTTTGACCTTTTTCTTTTCCCACTATGCAGAAGAACCTGTGGAATATGTGGGTGCATCCAAATGGAGTGGAGACCACAGGTGCCCTGGATTTAGGTGGTGCCTCCACCCAAATATCCTATGTACCAGAGGAGCAGATGCCGCCAAACACCAATGACAGCATACAGGTGTCCCTATATGGCTATAAGTACACACTCTACACACATAGCTTTCAGTGCTATGGCCGGATGGAGGCTGAAAGAAAGCTTCATGCAAAACTTTTTCAGGTACCTGCCCTGGGGCGTGACAAGTATTTCTGTGGGGAGAGTGCCCTACCTTCTGGAATCTGTCCTTTCTCCTCATATTAGAAGGTGGATGGAAACAACAGCATTCTCCAGTTTTCTTTTGGGTGCAAGCCCTCTCTCACTCTCTTGTATTAACCATTTCCAGTATATTTTAGTCAGAAGTTCAGGGAAGCTCTTGAACTCCAAATGTTTTATAAATGATGCAAGGCCTAGGGTCCCTTTATGGATTCAGACTGTTTTAAGCCAATAGCTAAATATGCCTTAGATTTTTGAGACTTTCCTGAGTGCAGACAAAATAATAAAAGAGGTCATGAGAGAAATGCTTGCTGATGGAGAAGAAGGCCAAGCCCTGTTCCAGGCTCAGCCTTCATTTAGATTGGCCCTGTATTAGGCAGGTTTGATACCCTTTATGTAGTGAGATTTTTGGAGGGATTTAGAGATTTAAAGGTGAAATAATCTTCTTCCCAAGGTAGAGAGGTTAACCTCTTAAATGTGACTGGCTCTTCAGAGTGTGTGTGTGTGTGTGTGTGTGTGTGTGTGTGTGTGTGTATACATACAATACAATGTTTCTAGAAGAATGACTATCAATGTACCCAACAATCTACAGTAGAGAAGCGAATATTCCCAATGAGACAGGTCTGGGTTTGAGAACGCAAGTCTCAAAATGTGAGCCCAGGACCTGGTGCAGCCCAGTCTTTCTCTGTGGTTAGTCAGCACACAGGGACAGGGCTATTTCTGCATCTTGCCTGGTAACCTCTGGATGCCTGAGAGGGTGACTCTGCTTTCTGAGTTTTCTGATTCAGGTGAAGGGAAGGATCCAGGTATGATGAAGATCACTCACAAATGCATGTTCAGATCTGCTTTACCAACACTTTCATGTACCAAATATGTGTTGCCAAGTCTGGCTTGGAAGGTTCATGTAGATCACTGCCTTATGAACACAGGCTGAATAAATCCCATATGTCTGTGTCTCTTTCCTCATCTGTCATGTAAAGGGGCTACATATCTACCGAGCTAGATACTTTGCAAATTATTTTATTAAGATGATTCTAGTCATTCCAGAGTTCAAGTCTTACTCAGATAGCATTTAGGCATTAGGGACATTCATTTACTTTCTTTCCCTCTTCAATATAGTTTCCTGGTAATATATGTTCTGTAAAAAAAAAATAATATGAAAATAGCAACACAAAATATAAGTAATAAAAAATATTAATCACTATCAACATATTGTTGTATTTTCTTTATTTCCGCCCCCCACCAAGCATGAGAAGTATATTTACTAATTTGGCTTCACATGATTTATGTAATTTGATATTCCGCTTTTTTTCCCACTTTACCATATGTCATGAGAAATTTTTTTGAATTATTTTCATGGGTGTATGATATTCCAAATATCATTACTTGGAAAGAAAAACTATATTGGTCATTTTATCATAAAAGAAAATACATTTTGTTGTAAAATGTCAAACTCTGCAAAAGGTATAAAACTATACAAATGGCAAAAAAATGAAAGAACCTCCTTCAAATACTATTCACTGATTAATTATTAATTATGTTGTTCCGTGTTTTCCAGGCCAAAATGATTTTATTTTCCTTAGTACTTAACATTTTATAATTCAAGCAATCATTTCTTTCCTAATGGACACTAAGCAATGTTCTGTTTTGCTGCTATAGCAAATAGCAATAATATAAATCTTCTTATACATAGAACCTTAATGATTTAATACTATATGATAGGTCAAAGAAGAAGTGTGTTTTTTATTTAATTGGATAAATAGGGAATCTTCAGATTCCCACCAATAATGTTGCTATGACTTTTTGCAATCTTATAATTTCAAGGATTCCAAGGACATTTGATTAATCAGTACTTGATGTTGAAGATCTATTTCTGGCTTTTCCATTCTGTTTTATTCATTATTTGTCCATTCTTGAGCCAGTATTATGTTGTTCTAGTTGTAACAGTTTTTTTCCTACTCTCAGACATTTATTTTGAACTTTGAAATAACTTTGAGTAGTAAAAAATATTCATTAAGAAAATGATTGTAGTTGTTAGTGACTCATTAGTTTGGTAAGAATTGCCTTATTAATTATATTAAGAATTTCAATCCAGAATTATAAATATAAAATATCCTTTAATAAAACTCACAGTTTTCATCATTGGTCCTCTACCTTTCTTTTAAATATAATTTTTTTAAAAAAATCTATTTATGCATACAAGAGCTGGGGTGGTGTAGGCTGGAGTTACAGGGGGTGAGAATATTCACCAGAGAGAGAGCAGGGAACAGAATAGGCAGACTGACTGAAATATGCTGCTGAAGGGAGCAGCAGGTGAGACAAGGAGAGGTCTGCTGCGCCATGTGGGTAGCTCCCTGGCCGGCTGGGAATTGAACTTGTGCTGTAGAGGCTGTGGATAACTTCACAGTGCTGTGCTTAACCCCTCAAAGACATTTTTAAGTAAGAAAAGCAAGGTACAGAACAGTGTGTAGAGGGTACTGCCATTTACACTTGGGGGAAAAAAAGGAGAGGGGAGAAGAAAATATATTTGCATCTGCAACACAAGAAGTATACACAAGATGTAGGTAGGATACGCAAAAACTGACAATAGTGATTACTGCCAGGGAGGGAATCTGGTGGATGAAGGATGCAGAAAGGAGATTTAATTGTCATAATATACTTATTTGTACCTTTCGGGTTATTTTATTGAATATTCTATTCAAAATAATCAGTCGTTCTAAACATAACTTGTTTTTTCATCAAAATGGAGTTCATAAAGCCTTCTGTACAGCATCGTGGTAAAGGCTGGAACAGATCATGTGAGCACCTAGCATTGTGTGTGGTGTGGGGTAACTGTTTCTCACTCCACTTTGAGTTCTCTATAAACAACCTGCAAGTTGCCTTCACTGACACAGAACATTTTTTTCTGTTTCTCTTTTGGTATCACAGAGTAGTGACAGAACTTACAAAAGGAAAATACTTGGTTCTCAGTATTTGCAAGGATACGCAAGAAGTACCATCCGAAAGACAAGTGGTTTCTAACACCTCACTTTTGCCCCTGCAGGAGTTTCCACACAAAGGCAATGTCCAAAATCCCTGTTACCCTCGGAATTATCGCCACAAGTTCACTCTAAGGGAAATATTTGACAGTGCATGTACAACTGACATGAGGCCTGACAATTATAATCCTGATGCTACTGTGGTTTTGGAAGGAACTGGAGATCCATTTAATTGCAGTAAGAAGGTGGCTTCTCTATTTGACTTCAAAGCTTGTGATGGCAAAGAAAACTGTTCCTTTAATGGAGTTTATCAGCCAAAACTTAAAGGGTCATTTGGGGTAAGAGCAAAACCACTGGAAGATTCCTTTCTTCCCTTACTGAATATTTATTTCTCACCTTTCTGTTTCTCTTTTGCTGACCTGTTTCTCACTTTCCTATTCTCCACCGTAAGTCCTCCATATTATACCCCCCTCTGAAACTAATTTCCTTGTGTACTCTTTCCTTACAGGCCTTTGCAGGATTCTACTACACAGCCAGTACTTTCAATCTTTCAGATAGTTTTCCCTTGAAAACCTTCAACTCAAGCACATGGGATTTCTGCTCAAAGGAATGGAGTCAGGTCAGTATTTAATGAGGAAGGATCCATATCAATGAAAAATAGGAGAGTTAAGTATATTCTATTTGTGTGCATGTGTGTATATGTTCTGTATTTGATTTTTATGCTGTTCTCCTTCCACCATATCTATAAAATGTAGACTATTGTAGATTCTAACCACACACACATTGGTTAGAACAGTGTTTGGCACATAATAAGTACTCTATAAACTTACAGGTTATTGCTACTGATATTGTATAGAGATATTTTCATATTTTATGGTATAATTATTATATAATAGTTTTTATTATGAAAGTTAGAGGATACAATTACTTAAAATAAGACTTGATCTAAGGAGTTCTGAAATGTGGATTTTATTTTATTTTAAAAGATTTATTTATTTATTTATTTATTTATACAAGCACTGGGTACAATCAGAAGCACAGGAAGGTGAGAGAATTCACCAGAGCCAGAGCGGGGAACAGAACAGGCAGAGTGACGAAATACACTGCTGAGGGGAGCAGCAGGCGCGGCAGGAGAGGTCTGCGCGCTGTGTGGGACCCTTGCTAGTGGCCGGGGATCGAACCTGTGCTGCAAAGGTTGCGGGCAGCTTCGCAGCCCATTGCTCAACCACTGCGCCACCAGGGGAGGCCCTGAAATGTGAATTTTAGAACATGCCTGTCCAGGCTGCCTCTTACCAGCTTTGGACCTGCTTTTCAGCTCCCAGATCTGCTTCCCCATTTTGATGAGACCTATGCGCGCTCCCAGTGCTTCTCAGCTCACTATGTCTACCACTTGCTCATAAATGGATACAAATTCACTAAGGAGACCTGGCCTAAAATACGTTTTATAAAAGAAGTAAGTCAAAGCTCACATTCTTTTCTCTTCTTCCTGTCATAATAGAGGTTTTGAAAGAAATGCAGAAGATAAAAAGGTTTTGGTGGTTTAAATATGTTGAACAGAAGCTGATGTGATTTTGGTCACTTGTGGGCATCCCAGAAAAGATGACAGAGAATTGAGGGCGAGTGTTAATGGAGATACTTCCACATACTAAAGGATTGGAAGCTAATGGGCAGGACTCTGAACTTCACAAGGACAGGACTTGCTTTATCAGCCTCGTATTGCTAGCATCACACACGGGGTTGAGAGCCTGGAAGGTGCTCAGTAATACATAAAGGTGCTAAGGACCTGAGACTTTTCTTGCTAAAAAGAACCTCCAAATATAACAATATTTTTAAAAATGATAGTAACTAGTTGCCTTTCATTTTATATAGATATCATATATTTATATACATATATATATGTGTGTGTGTGTGTGTGTGTGTGTGTGTGATAAGTCAAGTGTACTGACTTTAGAGCATGAGAGACTTCCTGCAACATTAAGAATTTTCCCCTGGAATGGGCACTGTAATTACTGTTAAATGTCCAGAATAATCTGAAGCTAGCGTCTCAGCTGCCACCAGAGCACCGTCACAAGAAGACTCTTTGGTCTCAGTCACCCTCTAGACCTTGTTTTCAGGCAGGACTCGGTTTTGCTGAAATCTTCACCCAGCAGTATGCCCCCCAGATTTTGGGTGGGTTTTCTCATTTCAGAAACAGCTGATTAAAGCCTGAAGTCTCTCTGGAGTCAGTCTGTTCAATATTAGCTTTGACGATAGTAAGATTAAACCAATCAATATCCTACGTTAGGCCTGCGATGGTGTGCCTATGCATAAGTAAAATTGAATCATGTACAGAAAATAAGGATGTCTGGAGGACTGTTCGTGACATGTACTCTCTAAGCTCTGCTTCTAATGACTAATTAGCAGGAAAGTACATAAGGAGGATGGAGAAGGACTTTCCATTGAATACCAATTTGGATAGATACAAAATTCTAGGTTTCAACTTCCTTTCCTTCATTCATAAAGAATTTTATATCCTGCCAAAGTAGTATTCAAATATAAGAGCATAAGAAGACTTCAGAAGATTTACCCCTCAAAGAATTACACGGAAAGCTTTTTTGAAGGAAGAAACTAAACAAGAAGAGAAATGCAGGAGCTATTATAAAAATATAGTAAGTGAGGATAAATAATGTCGTGGCTTAAAATCCATATTAAAAAAGAAAACACTAAAGAAATGAAAGAGAAGAATCCATCCGTAATGACCCAGTATTCCAGGATAGCTAATATCCAATGTGATAGAGATGGGAAAGGAATCATGAGATTCCTTAGGGACATAAGAGGACGCTAAAATCCTCATCTTGTAAAGAGGAACATACAAATATCATTTTTAAGGCAAGAAAGGAAAAATGTATAGAAAAATAGCAGTAACTGAACTTTTTTAATGAGCTATTAGGAAAAGTCTAAATATATCATAATGGACTAAATCTCCCAGTTTAAAAAAAACAAGACATTGTCAGATTGGGTTTTCATAAGTCAAGTTTATATGGTTTATGAGTTACACATACTATAGGTATAAGAACTTGGAGACTTTTTTTTAATTTTTAAAAAAAAATTTATTTATTTATGCATACAAGAGCTGGGGTACAGGCCAGAGATGTGGAGTTGAGAGGATTCACCAGAGACAGAGTGGGGAACAGAACAGGCAGACTGACTGAAATACACTGCTGAGGGGAATAGCGAGCGAGACAGGAGAGGTCTGCTGCACCATGTGGATAGCTCCCTGGCAGGCCAGGGATTGAACTCATGCTGCAGAGGCTGTGGATTGCTTCATAGTGTGGTGCTTAACCCCTTGCGCCACCAGGGAAGCCCCAGAACTTGGAAACTCTTGGACATACACCACCCAAAAGAAAACAGGGCTAGTAGCTACTTAGTCTCTGACAGAACAGTCTTAAGATAAAGAGCATCATTTGCAATAGAGAAGATTACATTATGACTGAAAATTAAATTCATTATGAAAATTGCAAATTTGGAACTTTTTTTTTTTTTTTAAGATTTATCCATTTATTTATACAAGCACTGGGTACAGTCAGAAGTGCGGGAGGGTGAGAGAATTCACCAGAGCCAGAGTGGGGAACAGAACAGGCAGAGTGATGAAATACACTGCTGAGGGGAGCAGCAGGTGACAGGAGAGGTCTGCGTGCCATGTGGGACCCTCATTGGTGGCCGGGGATCGAACTGGCGCTGCAGAGCTTTGCCGTCCAGCGCTCAACCACTGCACCACCAGGGGAGGCCCGCAAATTTGGAACTTTTACATGTATGATAAAACAGCCTCAAAACATGCAAGGGAAAATTTGTGGGACTACCAGAAGAAATGGACGAAGTCTTTTTCCCATTTGCGCTGATCCCCTGCTTTTAAAAACTGGCCCTGGATTGAGTAAACCACTCACAACAGTGTACTTTTTACTGTTAACTGTGCCCTCTTAACACTGGGCTGTGAGGGCATTGGGAGTAATTCTTCTGTTTCCCCTGCAGTGCTGAGGTCAAGTCAAAAGCCTCTATGGTCACAGTGACCTGGGCTGTAACCCAGCCTCTGCAGTGTCTGTACTCGGGCAAGTCCTTTGACCTCCTCAGGCCGGTTTCCTCTGGGTATATCATGCGAGGTGACAATGGTGTGCCCCGGGGATGAAATTCCAGCCAGAAGTCCTGGCCTGAGAACTGAGCCATCTCCTCTACTTCACAGGTGGCGAACAGCAGCATTGCCTGGTCTCTCGGCTACATGCTCGCCCTGACCAACCAGATCCCAGCCACAAGCCCCCTGATCCGCATGGCCCTGCCACGACACATCTTTGTAGGCATCATGGTCTTCTTTGCAACGATGACCTTTATGTGTCTGTTGTTTCTCGTGTACCTTTATGTATTAGCGAAGAAGATGAGCAGCTCTCAGGTTGCCTTCAACAGCCCCATGAATTCTGCGTGAGCATTGAGAAGGCCCTGCTGTAGCCCGAAGGATCCCCAGCCTGAGTTCCACCAGGCAACACAAGTGAATTGTCTTCAGGAAACACAACTAAAGTTAAATACCCAGATCATGTGCCTCTGGGATAAGGATTTCTGCCAAAGCACCTCTTGGGGAGTCCTCAGCTGTTCTGAGCATATTGCTCCTCCAGAAACGCCACCCACTTGCTGACCTGTTAGGGAACAGAGGAGAGACAGGCCGTCAACTTCAGGCTTTTTATTCCGAGTGCCCAAAGAGGAAGAGTAGCTGAAAATATGACAGTTTAATGTTGAAGAATTGACCTCAGGACTCAGTTTGCACTTTTCATCCCTCAGTATTCCTCTTGGCGAGCTTGGAAACCGGCAGACACCCCTAAAACTTTTGGCCCAGTCACTTACCTCGTTTCCTTGCACTGGTCCCTAAGTAAGCAACGTTAACAATCCCATAAATGTTGAACTCCCTTAGGTTGGCAGAATATAGTATCTAGGAGAGAAGACTCCTTTACCCTGTGGACAGTGGCCTCAACCAGGCTTCTGTCATGCAGGTAGAACTTGAAGGATAGAAACATACAGAAGTTCTCAGAAAAATGTGGCCATTCCCAAAGCGGGGTTCCTGCTGGGAGCTACGGTCATTAGACTGCAACCTGCGTGCGTCATTCTGTCCTCACCTTCCTTTCACGTCACTCTGTCCTCCGATGAAACACACTCACTCCTACTGAGGCTGTCACATTCCAGATTGGATTTTGTTTGTTTTTGTTTTGTTTGCCTTTTCTGGGCTATTGCTGAGGACTGTCTTTGCATTTAGCATGGTGTATCTATTTTGCCCACTGTTCTCACAGGAATCTTTGACGTGACATCCTCTGCTGTTATTTGCTTGCCAGTTACTTTTCTGAATCATCTGCTTCTCTGCATAGTAGCCATACCTCTTGACTTTGGGGAAAGAAAAAAAGTTGTAGAAGCATTTTTACTCCAAAATAGGGTGAGAAAGAATTCTGGCAAGTCCCATGGCTACACACACTAAAAATGAACTTTATTTCAGATTGGTGTTTGTTAAATGAACACAGAATAAAGTATTATTTTGACTTGCAATGTGTGTTTGTGAACTTTTACACGGTGCTCTTTCTCCTAAGCACTCAAGGTGGTATTTCTGAGGAGCTTTAAAAGATAAGAAAATTTTCTTAAGAAACCTTTTCTCATCAATGAAGAAAATCATGCTTTAGTCTCTCTTTCATTCTAGAGTTCAAAGTGCTTCACTTTTATAAACCCTTGGCTCTGTGAGATAATTGTGAAGAATATTTCTTTATCTTATTTGACATTCAAAGCTTCTGGCTACAACTTGCCTTTCACATCTTGGTCACCAACTGGAATGCCTGCCCCTGCTCCCCAAGTTGCACCAGGGTTCACATAGTTCTTTTTACCTAGACTGTGGGCCACCCTCCATGTACCCAAGTAACACTTACTTCCCAAGGTCCAATTCTATCTTTACTTCTTCCACAAAGCTTTCCTTGACACACGCGCACCATGATCTGTCTCCTGGACCACTTCTTTAAAAACTTTTCCATCCCTCAGTATTCTTCCCGGTAAGGAATAGATAATGTTCAAAAGCAGACAAAACTAAACACAAAGTAAACTCTAAAGAAAATCTGGGAGATTTTTACTCTTAAATTTGGGAGAAGATAGGGGTTGGTATTGAAAAGGGATAAACAAATACCTTAGTCTGCTAGGCTGCCATAACAAAATACCATGAGCTGGATAGCTTAGACTATGGAAATTTATTTTCTCACAGTTCTGGAAGCTGGGAAGTTCAAGATCAAGATGCAGCTGATTCAGCTCCTGGTGAGTGCTCTTTCTGGCTGATAGGCACCTGCTTTCTCTAGAGTCCTTTGATGCCCCTTTTTATAAAAAAGCTAATCCTGTTGAAAGGGCCTCATCAAGATCTCATCTAACCCCAATTCCTAAAGGCTCTGGAGCCACAATGATGTTCCATAACTGGTTATTCCATTTTGCTACCATTTACACACTCTGCATGACCTCTATGGCATTTAAAAAATAAAATATCTGGGATAACTGAAGGATTTGCTACTTGCTACCTATGTGATTTTCATAAAGTTTTTCAATCTCTTTGAGCCTTGATTTCCTCATATATAAAATGGGGATAATAAGTACCTCACAGGGTACATAAGAGAAAAGTTAGCACTTAGTACCTGGCAGAGTATAGAAAATGAGTAAGAGGGTGTTTTTGTTTTTGTTTTTTTTTAACTATTTCTTATTCGAGCTCTAAGTCTGTGCCCTGCTATTAATCTATCTCAGGCAGTTGAACATTGAATTTGAGATTCTTATTTTTGTTTTAAGGAGTACTAAGCAAAACAAGCAATAAAAGGAGGAACAGGATGTGCCAGCATCTGAATATTCTCTTCTATTCTAATTCTGTGCCTCTGTGCACTACTAATACTGAGGTCCGTACAATGCCAGCATGGAAATTGGTCTTCACAGATGCTGCAGTTTTCCAGAAAACACTCACAAACTAATAAATGTTACAAACAACATTCCTCTTGTTAGTAGACATATGTAAGTAAGCAGCATAGAAAATAGGCTAATAGAATGGGCCTCCCCTTGTGGCGCAGGCGGTTGTGCGCCATGCTGTGAAGCTGCCCGTGGCCTCTGCAGCGCGGTTTGATCCCGGCCAGGGGCGAGGGTCCCACACGGCGAGGCAACCTCTCCTGCCTGCTCCTCTCAGCGGTGTATTTCATCAGTCTGCCTGTTCTGTTCCCCACTCTGTCTCTGGTGAATCCTCTCACCCTTCCGTGCATCTGGCCTGTACCCCAGTTCTTGTATAAATAAATAATCTTTCAAAAAAAGAAAATAGGCTAATAAAAACTCTAAGACCTTCGAATTTAAGGGTGGTATATAAATGGACATTTAAATGGTGTTATATGTCAATGTTTATAACTTAAACCTGGGTACCTAGTCCAAATGGTGCTTGGGAAACAGGCTATTTAAATTGAGATAAAATGTCTCAAGTTCTTTTATTCATATAATTAAGGTTGAAGGAATGGGAGAGATAAATAATAAAGTATTTCACCCATTAACATATTCATTCATTTACTCATTGTACATTTAACGAAAGTCTTCCGTGTCCTATGCATTGGGCTAAGTGACTCAAGTTGTAAGAGAAGTAAGCTAATGTCTTTCCTTTTGAAACACATGAAACATGAAGGCCCTCTGCTGGAACCATGGAGAAAAATCCTTTCCAGTGGGTGCTTCCCCACTTCCCCCTGCCCTCTACCCAATTAGGGATGCTGGAATTTATGGTTGTAGAACAAGATAAATTGGAAGAAATAGAAATAGAAAATATGCATGGAAAAGAAAATTTTAAACAAAAAAGACAGCTATTTCTCTGCATCTATGAAATAGGATTTTTTTAAGGGCAGGTGGAATTCAGAAGAAATTTTTTTTTAAATTAAAAACATGATAGTAAACATTAAAAACTCACTAGAAGTACTAGAGGATAACTTTGAGCAAACTCTTAGAAAATAGAAAGAAGACAAAGCAATGAGAAAAAGGGATGAAAAGACAAAAGAAATTCTATAGCCAATCCTCAAAGTTGTCCATCTAGACAATAGGAGTTCCCAAAAGAAAAAAACAGAAGAGGAAGTCAGCCATGAAATAAATGGAAAATTTCACCCTGATAAGAAAGATATAATTGAAAGGGACCAGTCAATGGATGAACTAGAGGCTCAAAACTGTAAATTTTCAGAACACAGAAGAAAAAGAAGATTTAATAAGCTTTTGGAGAAAAAGAGAAAAGAAACTGACAACTTACAGAGGATCAAGATGAGAATGTCTTTAGGTTTCTCAGCAATAACTCTAGAGTCAAGAGACAAAGGGACAATACCCTTAAATTTCTGAAGAAAAATTATTTTCAAAGTAGATTTCTATACCAAGCCAAACCATCAATTAAGTATGAGAACAGATTAGACATTTTCAGACAGCTTCCTTTCAAAGGAAGCTAATTGAAAAATGTGCTCCACCAAAAAACAGCTGCATTAGCCAAGAGAAAGAAAGACATGAGCTCTAGAAAAGAGGAGATACAATATGGAAGAAGTTATAGAGGGAAGCTGCTCAGAATGAAGCCAGTCAGGCCATCCAGGCATAAACATCTTCAAGAAAGTGAAATTGATAGAATTTTATATCTGATATAAATTAATACCTTGAGAAGAGATTTTGATCACTGGAAAAATGTTTGAGAAGAAACTATTAAGAAAATAGATACAAAGCAAATGAAAACCAAAAAAAGAAATTTAATGATAGGGAAACAAAAAACTAACTTTACACATTTAAATATAAATACTTAATACTGCTCTAACATTATCATTATATATTCAAAGAATGTGCACATGTGGTAGGTACAGAGTAAGGAAAGAGGAGTAAATATTCATCTTCCATAGTCAAGAACCAATAGATAGTCCTTAAAACTGAAAAATCCAGAAGTTGCCATACAGACATGTTGTTTAAAGACATGTAGGTAGGGAAATTGGTGCTCTAGCTTTCTGTGAGCTTAGTTGCTCCAGCTAGTGAGAGGCTAAGAAAATCTGGGCAGCTGAAAAGTGTGGTCAGCAAGAGGAGCAAAGGTGAGCACATGAGGGCAGTGATTAACCAAATGTTGATAGAAACTGCAGAAAGAGACCCTCTCAAGGAGTTGCAGAGAGCTAAATGAATTGAATATGGCTGGAAAGATCAATTGAAGGCGTACTCTGTAAAGAAGAGGTAATTAAAGAATAAGGACTAGAACACGCCACTGTTGATGACTTGATGGCTGAAATCACACCAAAAGGTGGAGCCTAGGTACCTGATGGTGTGAAGAACTTGTACAAAGAATAAGAGCCTTCCTTGAGCAGCAGGCCAGCCTTGAAGATTGATTTAGATTGTGTTGTTTTATGGATTTATTTCTGAAAGTAAAACTTAACATAAATTAGGAATCATTTTCCGAGATAAAATCCCTTTTTGTATCATGGTAAAAATACATACATATATATATACAAGTAGGTAAATACAAGCAACTGAAAAAATTAAAATTGTCTCTCTGGCAAGAATCTGGAGAGAAAGCAGTGGGAAACCACTGTTTTCGGTAACAAACTACTTGATTCTTTGTGTGCTCCTATACTTTTGTTTTTTCAAACTTAAAACTCTATCGTGTCTTAGGAATTAAGGCTGCTAGGGGCAGTGGGCGGGGGGACAATTGGGGAGGGGCACAATGACCTTGGGTAAAAGATTATGGGTGCTTCCATGGTGGGGGCAGTGTGGTAACATACACCTGAGGAAGGTATTGCTGTGTTGTAAACCAAAGTTACCTCAATACAAGAAAATAAATACTCTCTTGGTTTAGAAATCTGTAAATTTGGTATGTAGCATATATTTCTCTGAAAATCTTATTTTAAAAGAAAGAAAAGGTGTTATCTACGATATGGAATGAATTGATTAAAAGTAAGGAAGGTTTATTTAAAGTGGAAATAGGGCCTCCCCTGGTGACGCAGGTGGTTGAGTGCCACGCTGTGAAGCTGTCCGCAGCCACTGCAGCGCGGGTTCGATTCTGGACCGCCAGCGAGGGTCCCACATGGTGCAGCAGACCTCTCCTGCCGTGCCAGCTGCTCCCCTCAGCAGTGTATTTTGTCAGTCTGCCTGTTCTGTTCCCACTCTGTCTCTGGTGAAGCCTCTCACCCTCCCGCGCATCTGACCTGTACCCCGGTTCTTGTATAAAATAAATAAATTAAAATCTTAAAAAAAAAAAAGTGGAAATAGGTCTCATGTCTGTGTTTGAAAGAGTCACTTTGTCTAGAAGTCTCCTATTTTCCCAGGAGTGAATGCTGTAGAGCTCCGGCCAGCATCTGCCCTTCCCCCAACTGCTGCAAATGTTGGCTGCTGGTTTCTCCTATTGAGTCCCTCTTCTTGTCCTCAGACTGAGAGTTGCCTGACCCTATGTTGTACCTCCTCCTCAGAGAAGCCTGCATCAACTGATGGTCTTTATGGGGATGGGGATATAAAAAGACAACTCTGAAGGCCATACAGCTTCAGAGCTTGCTGT